GCAATCAGTAAAAAATACATACATACTGAGATATGCTACTGTAATTTGGGGGTACATACATTGACTATTCGGGAAGGTTCATCCATTCTAAAATAACATGTTTTGTAAAGGTGAATTCTAGGCTCAGCTCCTATAGCTCAGTTGTTATGGTGTCAGCCACATACACCTGGGCTGTCGGATTTGAACCTGGCCCAGGCCTGCTAAACAACGACAACTACAACAAAAAAATCACTGGGTGTTGTGGCAGGTGCTTGTAGTCCCAGCTACTTGGGAGGCTGAGGAGAAAGAATTGCTTTAGCCCAAGAGTTTGAGGTTGCCGTGAGCTGTGACACCACAGCACTCTACCCAGGGCCACATAGTGTGACTCTGTCTCAAAAAATAAAAATAAAAAACAAAGGTGAATTCTAATCCCTTAGACTAGAATCCATCTCTTCTGATATAATTTCTTTTCTTTTCTGTAATATATATTTAAAAGCCTGACTCATCAGTACGCCACTATCCTGTATGTATGATCACGGTGGCACTTTTTAGGAACCTATCACCACTTAAATTGCAACGGAATAAAATTTTGCTGTATTCTTGCCATCTTGACAAGCTTCTCAGCTCCTGTTTTTGGTCCCAACAGCCTCTAAAGCCAAAAATCCTACACCGAGATTATCCTTGCTCATTATTTTCTTTGATTTTCAAAGAAAAATTATAGATTTTATTGTTTCTCAGAGGGTTTTTTGTGTGTTTTCTCACTTTATTTTCAGAGCCACTTCTCTCAATATTTCATAATTATGTTTGTCACCTCCATGTCACCCATGAGTAATCTGGGACCCAAGGAGGTTAATTAACTTGCCAAAAGTCACTCAAGTTTTCTAGGGCAAGGGTTGAGATTCAAACCCCAGCAGTCTGGGTCAGGAGTTTATGTGACCAGAGCTACAGAAACTACATTTTTAACTGAGTTAAAAAACGTAAGATTAGAAAATCAATGTTGGCATTTTAAAAAAATACAATAAAAATATTTAGTTGGTAAAATTAACTTTGAAATGTGTATTTTTTGACCTTTTTTGTTTTAAAACAAAAAATTTTAAAAATCAGGTAAGTATTAAAAAATTAAATATTGAAAATTGCAGCCTCATCATTCAACTCAGACTTTATAAAAGATATTTTAAAGAAAGAAAGGCTATGTTGCTTACTAGGATGTGAGCACTCCAATTTGTACAAATAATCAACACATGGAATCCTATAATGGCATAAATGTATTTATGATCTATGTACGAATGACTTAATAAAAAAAAGAAGGAAGTATATAGGTCATTACTTAAGTATTCCACCATTCATTAAAAAAAAAATGTCTATATTATTTTACAATGAAATGTCCTGGCATTTATATTTTCTACTGTAAACTGTTTAAAAGGAAAGATATATATATACACACACACATATATACACACATATACACACACATGTATTTCCTATACCACGATATCACCATGCCTCCAGGACATTTTTAGAAAACAGTTGATCTATTATAATGTTACGGCCGCTTTGCTATATTGAGATTTATGCCATTTATTTTCAAAGAGGAAATTCTGGCTTACCTTTTTCTGTAGGACACAATGGAATATGAATATAAACATTCCCTGCAGAGAATTGAAAATGGTGAAGAGATAGGCCATGATGACCGTGTTCTCATTGATGTACATGAGTCCAAAGGCCCAGGTCAGTCCTAAGAGGCAGAGAAGAGCTATTGCACCTATAACCCATGACCTGCAGAGAGAAGAGAAGACGAAGAATTATCAGTTAATTGCTCTCCGGTAACAACCGTAGCGTATCGACAATACTGACACTAAAAAATAAAAATGCTATGGTAACTTTTATTGACAGAAAATGTCAGGTGGGTGGTGTGAGTACGCTAAGATTTTAATGGCAACTACAAGTGTTCAAGCTTGAGGAGATAGACATGAATGAAAATGGTATGGACACAGAAACTCTTTTAAGCAAAAGCAGGTCTGTACTGTAAAAGAGTCACGTGTTTGCAGGACAGATGCACGTGGCGTGAGGTGTGAGTATGGAGAATGGCCGGGGGAGACGTCGACAGAGCCGTGTCAGTCTCCAGTGTCCTCTCCCTGGTGTAACATCTGCGTGGTTCGTCTCCCTCAAAAACGCCTCCTCCGCTCCACTTTAGCCCCGTTTTTCCTAATTCATTCTTTTCTCATAAAAAGTTTAGTGTCTACTGACAAAAACGTAATTCATCGTAGAAGAAAATACATGTATTTGAAGCACATGTATGAATTTTAAAAGTCCCATCTGCCTGATGCTGTAGTTACAGAAAATAAGAAAGAATGAGAGGCAGTTCCGCTCTGTCGGAATCACTCCAGTCTCTCGACCTTCGGATTGCTGCCTTTCAGGCGGTGTTGGAGGAGACCGCAGAGACCAGCCAATTGGCAGCCTTGTGGAAAAAAATCTCACAGGCTTACAGCACCTCTGTCTCTCTGAAGCGTCTGGAAGCTCAAGGGGGAGGGGGAGGCTGAGGATGAGGATGGAGCTCATGGACGGGGATACAGAATGAGAGACAGGTTCTTGGTTGCACTCCATTCTCTTAATTAATTTCCTCTAGTTGCCATGTGCAATCGAATGAATGGGTGACAGAATTCATATACTTGTGATTAAGTTATATATTTACTATCCACATAAAGTGAATTCTTCAAGTAGATGGGACTCCAGTAATTGAAAATGGAATCCTTCTCTACTCCTTTCTAAGTATGTAGGAGAACAGGACCAAACCAGTTTAGATCTTTTTATGTTCATGGACTCACATCTTATACTCATTTGCCAGCATCTCCCCTGAATAGGGTGAGATAATATTTCTTTCAACTGATGCTCATCCCCCACTTAGGATATCTACAGGAGATATATTCACTGGGATCAAAACTTTTGCAAAGGGAGGGGTTAAAAAAATCACATATGTTTACCATAATCTGAAGCTGAGTTCAATTTGTTTTTAGGAAGACATGGTCCGAAAGAAGTGAATTATTAAAGTCTTACTAAAATTATTTACAAAAATTTTCTATTTTTCTCCAATAATAATGAGCCACTAAATATCAGATTTCAATGTTTACATTTACAATGTTTAATTCAAAACATCAATATTTGTGAATCAAGAATCCCTAAAAGATGGTTTTTATTTTATGGGGCACATTCGCTTCTACGAATTAGAAATCATTTTAGATATTAATATTTTATTCCATAATTGGATTCAGAAACATGGGAACTTTCAAGGAAAAGGTTTCAGCTTCTTG